TGTCTTCCTGTCCTGTGTCTCTCTTGCTCCCAGGACATGTTCAAAGCACACAATTATCCCCACAGCTTGAGTTCAGAGCCAGGAAACATATGAGTGCAAGAAAATGGGAGGAGTAGAGCTTGTGAACTGGAGAGAGATGCCCATCTAAAGGCATGTCATTTTTCTTTTTTTTTTTTTTAAGTTTAATACTGTGAGGGCCAAATAAAACATGCCTGTGGGTTGACTGGGCCATGGGCCTCTTCACTGCTCTGTGAATGTGCAGGGCCTGCTCTCACTTCAGGGCCTCTGCTGGGAATTCCCAACTTGGCATCCCATTTGTGACCCCCTGACAGCTCTGCTGGAAGATCCCTCAGTGAGGTCTTTCCTTGTCCCTTCCTACACTCCCCACCCCTTCCCTGTTCTATTCTTCTCTATGGCTCTTAGTGCTGTGGTTTATTTACCCTGGTTAATGTCTATCTCTATCCAGTAGAATGCAAGCCCCAAGTAGACAGTCAAGAACTATGTGTTGAATGAATGGGTGGATGGATGGATGGATGACTTCATCGTGGAATGAGATACTCGCCTTAGGCAGAAATTGTAAGGGCAACATCAAAAACCTCAGTAATCAAGATCAATAATATTTTAATGCATTTTTTTTTTAGTCACAGTGCAAAAAATCTGTGATGAACAAACTGTCAAATTTTTAAATAAAGGCACATCCAAAAGAAGTTGCAAGTGAGCTAAAGTTAATTTAAAATTATTTAAAATCCTCACTTGTTCAAGAAAAAATTCTCAAACACGGCAGTGTTCTCAATTGAAAACAAAATAGGAAGTAGATTTTGAAATTTTTACTAATGAGTGTTCTTCCATCAAAGCCAGGAAAGTAACATTCTAATAAATTCTGGGGCTTTTGTTTGTTTGTTTGGTATAAGTAAAATATTTAAACTTAATGTAGAGTTTTAATGTACCTACTTTTCAATTTTCCATCTTTTTTTTATGCTACCTCAGTGTTCTGAAAAAAAATAACCAATTAAAATACATCAAGGCCAGGTGTATGGCTCACACCTGTAATCCGAGGCACTTTGGGAGGCTGAGACGGGAGTATCTCTTGAGCCTAGAATTCAAGGCTAGCCTGGGCAACATAACAAGAACCTGTTTTTGTATTTTTTAAAAGTAAAAAAAAAAAAAAAAGAAAGAAAAATTTTTTTAAAAGGGAAATACATCAAGACCTGTACCACAGAGGCCCACATTTTTCTTTTGCTCCAGGCTATATGTGGGTTGCCAGGGCAATGGTTCTCAGCAGATGCATGCTGATGAAGCAGTATCATGAGCCATCCTTCCCAAGCAGACTGTTGTAATGTTCACAGCCTAAATTGCTTTCATCTACAGCAGTGAGAGGTGTGGGATTTCAGGAGCCTGCTGAGGGAGACTGCCTCTTTGGGGGTGCTTTTCAGTCATCCCCAAATCAAGCCATGTGGGCCTACTCCAGTGAGCACTAGTTTTTCCTTTGCATGGAAGGATCTTGAAAAAGAAAAAGAATTGTTGAGATCAAGAAGAGGAAAGGCTTGGGGAGAGAGGAAGGACTCGACCTCATTTTCTAGATATCAGACGTCAACACAGGCGGCTTGGGCAGTCCCCATATTTGTTCACATTGAATTTACTTCTGCCATTATCCACCACTCCCGCTCTGACCCAGAGATGCCTCCCAAAACACCCAGCACCACAAGCCCTCGCCAGGTGCTGGGCTGCAGCTGGGCTCACGCTGCATAGCCCAGAAGCCAGTGCCATCTTCCCCAAACCGGTGCCACTCCACACCAGGAGTGGTTGTGGGGAGGTGCCCTGGTGTTGTGGAAAAGCACTGGAGTGGCGACCAGGGTACTGGAGTTCCTGCCATGAACTAGGTACAAGACCTTGGTCCAATTACCTTCCCTATCGCAGTCCAAGTTTTCTTGTCTGTCTGACGAGGTCTCTGGGGACCCATCTAGCCTTAAGAGTCTAGAAAGCAGAGTTCAGCTTAGTATTCGATGTATTTGCTACATGCTCAACGTAAGTGGTTAAAAGCCAATGACCTCTTTAGAGAATACCTAAATTAAAGATAGACTCTTTCTTGGAGCAAACACAAAACAAAACTTGGAGAAGACTTTCGGAGGGCTCCCTACTACATGTGGAAGATTGACTGCACACATTTATCTTCTTACATTATAGCTTGGTGGTTAAGAGACTTCTGGGGCCACACTGTTTGGGGTTGAATCCTGGCTCCGCCACTTATAACTGACCTGAGACAAGTCTCTGTCCATTTCTTCATATGCAAAACAAAGAACTGAGGACAGGGCGATAAGGTGGCTGTCTGGAAGCCAAGAAGAGAGCCCTCACCAGGAACTGAATTGGCCAGCACCTTGTTCTTCGACTTTCCAGCCTCTAGAACTATGAGAAGTAAACATGTGTTTAAGACAGCCAGCACCATCCAAACAGACTAATACAAATGAAGAGACTGGTTTTAGGAGGAGCAAGGAGAGTGTATCCTAGATTAAGAGGAGGGGAGGCAAAGTGCAGTGGTGCTGAGGGAGCTGGGTGTGTAGATGTGATGGAAGTGTGAGGGAGGTCTCTTCTGAATGCTATTTTTTTCCAGAGAGTTGAGAAGCAAAGTGATCAGTTGAGAGTGAGGACACAGGATTGAAGATCTAGGAAGAGAAGTGAAGAGACGGCAACAAAGCAATGTAATGAAGACATTTGAGAAACACTACAAATCTGCCAAACGTTTGAAGTAATTAAAGATAAACTAATCAGCTTGGTGGTCAATTTTTCTCCAGGTACATCCAGCAGTTTGGGTGCAGAGAGGAAACTGGTAGAGATAACTATAACCATGGCTGGGACTTGGCCAAATGAGAATGGCAAAGTGAGAGAGGAAAAGAGTGATGGTAAAGGAGTATTTGTAGGCCAGGCGCAGTGGCTCATGCCTGTAATCCCAGCACTTTGGGAGGCCAAGGCAGGCAAATCACCTGAGGTCAGGAGTTCAAGACTAGTCTGGCCAAAATGGTGAAACCGCATCTCTACTAACAATACAAAAAATAAATAAATTAGCTGGGCGTGGTGGCGCACACCTGTAATCCCAGCTACTTGGAAGGCTGAACCTGGGAGGTGGAGGTTGCAGTGAGCCAAGATCGCACCACTGCACTCCAGCCTGGGCAGCAAGAGTGAAAGTCCGTCTCAAAGAAGAAAAGAAAAGAAAAAAAAAGAATAGAAAAGAAAAGAAAAGAAAAAGAAAAGGAAAAGGAGTAATTGTAATGATGAACAATGGGAATCTAAGCCAGGTAAGAGGAAGAGTGAGAACTCGAAGGGGTTCAGGGCCAGGAAACAGGTAGCAAGGTCACTGGCTTGTAGGTTCTAGTGGGGTTGAAGAATTTTTGGAGTTGGAGCCCTCAAGGGAGTGACGTGAAAGATATGAAGTAGGGACTAGCAAAGTCAGATGCTTGTTACAGAGACTATGTGGGCATGCTGCAGATATAGGACAGGAGTATGGCTATGGGGTGGCTAGCTAAAAAAAAGAAGAAAAGACCATGCTAGGCTATTAGATTTGTAGGTTTTGAAAGCATTCAAAATCTGGAAGAAGTGATGTCACAGAGAAGACTTTGACATACTGCTAAAACCTCCAAGGGGTGAGGAATAACAAAGATAACTGGAACAAGGGATGTCAGGTGGTGATGATTAGCTGGCATGAGCATCAGAGTCAAGGAAAGAGCACTGGTCTGCAGGCAGAGAAGAGCAAGGAGGACATCTTCTTTCTCCCAATCCCTGAATACAAGGGATGCAGGAAAGAAAACAGCTACTCCTTGAGAGGCTGTGGGAGGCAGCATCCCCGGGGAGAGTTGGGTTTCGATTAGAACAGCGAGGCAAAGGAGACATTCACAGAAGAGGACATCAGGGATGTCGCTGCTGATGGATGGGGGCAGAAAGCGGGGCATACAGAGCTACACGGGACAGAAGTCTCCAGGTGAGTCATGGGCTTCCTACAGGGCCTGGGATAAAGGGTTTGACAAGATTAGTCTGAGACAGGATAGGAAGCCATGCCACCTGGAGATGGGGGAGCTGGGGAGATGCGGGTCTTCCTGGAAACACTCAGGGCTCCTTTCCCACTCTTGCTGAGGCCTGTGGAAGTTCAGATGCAGGCTGTTCTAGAGAGAACACATGTAGCCCGAGGGCTTTTTTTGTTTTTTTTATTTTTTTTGTTTTGAGATGGAGTCTCATTCTGTCCTGCAGGCTGGAGTGCAGTGGTGCGACCTCAGCTCACTGCAAGCTCCGCCTCCCGGGTTCACGCCATTCTCCTGCCTCAGCCTCCTGAGTAGCTGGGACTACAGGCGCCCGCCACCACGCCTGGCTAATTTTTTGTATTTTTAGTAGAGTTGGGGTTTCACCATGTTAGCCAGAATGGTCTCGATCTCCTGACCTCATGATCCACCCGCCTTGACAGGCCCATCTTGGAGTCAAGAAATATTGATTTCTTCCTTCAGGCTGGAGACTCTCATGTGATAGGAATTCCAGTGCAGGCACAAGCTGAAGCATCTGTGTATTGACTTGGGTTTACATGGCTGCTGGGGGCAACTGGCGCCGTCCACCTCCTCAGGAGTGGTTGCCACTCAGTATTTGTTATGACTACGGTTTTCCAGCTATTGTCTGCGTTGACCTCCCAGTGTGACAGCTAACCAATGCAACAAACTAAGTAGGCTAATGAATGGCAGCGAGAGAAGTCTCCCCGCCCCACCTGTGTTATACAACTGCACTGGATGGTGGTGATCTGGTCTTTTCAAAAGCAGCAGAAGTAAAGACCCATGTGTTCACTTGCCTCCTACCTACCGCAGTGGAACCCAATGAGGGACAGTACTTTTCTCCCTCACTCCATGAATGACCCTATAATGAATTATTTTTCCCCTAAAGCAAGGGAGAAAGAGTATAGATTTTAAAAGGGTACGTGACCCTTATTTTTCTATCTTAGGAAAACAGTAGACAAACCACCTAGTCACTTATGTACATATTTACATTTATTTACAAAAGTTTCCATATCATCAGTAAAAACAATTTAGTGACAAAAAAGCAAGCACCCCGTCATATAATAGGTTGATGACACTTGAAACTAATGCATGTTCTTTGTTTGTAAGTATTTCTTCTTAAAAAAAAATAGCTGCTTCAAGTTACATTTCCAACAGTTCTTCGAAAATGGAAATTTTTCAAAAATTTCTCTTCAAATGAGAAATTAGATGGCTTTTTAGTTTTCAAAATAATTTGTTATGCTGTTGTCTTCATCTTCTGTTACCAATCAATTGGAGCTACAAAAAAAAATTTCATATTATTAACTTGTAAAATGCAGTAAATCTGGGCTGCAGACCAGGAGTCTTAATTACCCTCCTATTCCAATGTGAATAGCCCTTTTGTAATAAACTCATCAAAGCCAGGGAGCTAGGGAGCAGGGATGGAGGAAGAACCGCCTTGAGTGCTCTTGGGATGGTAGTCTGAGTCCCACCTGAAGAACAGCCTTCAGGAGGCTGCACTCAATAGCAGCCCCAAGGCTCCTCCCGCCGACTCTCTGAGTATAACTGAAAGACTGAAAAACAGAGCTGAGACTGTTAGACCCCTATGTAAACTGTCACCCATTTCTAACAGCTACTTCCTTCTTCGCTACATGAAACGCCTGGGGATGGTTCTCTTCCAACTCAAACTTATCTTCCTCTTTAGTCACCTCTGTGGCAATGACAGAACAATCTCTGGCTGTCTCAGAGTAAATCCACCAAAAAACAAAACCACATCCTTGAGCAAGCCCTCAAACCGAGTCCATTTCCTGGCCTCCTCCCCCATGGTCTGCGTATTTCCATGGAGCTCAAAATCAGACCAGGCCAGAGCTCCCCAAACATTTGTATCTCATCAGTAACAAGAATTCATGAGAAATTAGTGCTGGGGTCACGGGGTGAGGTAAAGGAGAGCAAACTACAAGTTTCCCTCCTTGGGAGCCTCACAGAACATGAAATGGGTGGTGTGACTTTCTGAGGGGGATAAAGACAGTGGGAAATGTTTTTAAACCAGATTGGCTGGCACAGGATTCTTGCTGGGACAGCTTTTTGCCTGTCTCTGCTCCCCTGCCCTCTCCCAGCAGTCTCCTCACCCACTAGAAGGAATCAAGCCTGCTTCTCCAGCTTGGCTCCTGCCTGAGATCCCACCTGTAAATCATTCTTCTCGGAGAAATAGGACTCCCTGTTTCCTTTTTAATTTGGCTGACTTTGTGATCTGTTTTCTAGACGCTTACACAAAAAATACCACGGCACTCAGAAATTGCCTATGTTGAACTGCCGGGGTGGGAAGTGTGGCGTGGTCATTTCCCGTCAGATGTCTGCTTATCTACTCATCTGTCCTCTGTTGTTCCTAATTGGGTTTAGTTCTTCCTGGTCCTGCCCTCATGCAGCTGGGGAAATACTGCATTTGTTCCTGGTTATGCTTGCCCCTTTCTCATCTCCTCCCCCGATCCCCTCCATCTCCACCATATATAGAACCTTTTAACATTTTAATTTAACTTAATTTTTTGGATGCCCAGGCTGGTCTCTAACTACTAGGCTCAAGAAATCCTCCCACTAACTCCTAAGCTCATGTAATCCTCCCACCTCAGCCTCCCAAGTAGCTGAGACTACAGGTGTGTGCTACCACACCCAGCTTCATAACCCTTTAGTAACTGAGCTTAGGGAATTCCCCCTGCTGCCACAGTGGGTTCTTTAAGTTTAAAACTGATTATTAAATAGGCAGTAAACACACATGATGCAGAATTTGAATAGTAAATAAAAATATACCAAGAAAAGTAAGCTCTTCTCTCAATCTCAGCCCCAAATACTCGGGTCTCTCCCTAGAATGTCACCTGAGGGAGGTCAGTGTTACCTTTCTAGACTCTTCATTCCAAAGCAGTGCTTTTCATGCAAAATGTTCCTGCTCAAGAACCTACAATGGCTGCCTATTTCCATATCACTCCATTCCAAGGACCTCCTTGCAAATATTCAGTGTCTTTTGCCTCTACTTCAACTCGATGCCAGGCAGGTCAACCTTACTATCAAATAAATCACAACAGATTTAATTCCCTCTCATGTATTTGCCTCTGCTGTTTATCCCACCTGGAAAGGCTTTTCTATTCCACTCTCATTCTGAAAATGTAGGTCACATCCTACTCCCTCCAAAGCTTTTCTGATTATTCTGGCCTCTTCAACTCCCCTGCACTGGTTGCTCAGCCCTCACCATCGTATCACACATTCTGCCTATCACCTGTGCTTCCTGCCTAAGTCCTTCTAAGAGTTTCTTACGCTCACGTGCATCCTTTCTCTCTCCCTGGTGTGGCCACAAGCTTCTTGTGGGAGGAACCCTATTATATGCTTTCTCTGAATCCCACACAACGTCTAGCCTCGCTGGGTATTCTGACTCTACCCTATTAGCTCGCACAGTGCCTGGTATCGCCTAATCTCCAAAATGTTTATTGTGATGAAAGGAACAGATGAAGCAATGAGTTCTGGAATGCCCATTGCCTTTCCCCATGGCCCTGGATGATGCCCCCCTACCCCCATCATTGGTGGTGGTGGCTTTGCCTCCCCCAACCACTCAGAGTTCCCCTCCACTGTAACCAACTAGATCTCAGCAGAGACCTGACTTGGCTCTTGCACTCTCACTGGGGCTCACGCATATTGTTCAGATCTGAAATGCCCTCCTCTGACCACAAGCCTGGAGGTCTCTACCTCTCCTGCCTCACCTCATCTCCAGCTACTTGGTTCCTCTCTGCCTGGCCTCCCGGCCCATCAACCCCTCATGGCCTTGGGTCCTCCCAGCTTGGGCCTGTGGCTGACTGAGCTGCCCCTTGGACTCCCTTGCCTCCACGCCTCCTGCCACAGCTTGTTTCTCCTGCGCTGTTCCACTTGGCAGCTGAGGAGAAAGGACACCTTGTGGCCCATCCATCGATCCCACCTCACCTAGGTCTTTGCTGCTGCTTAGCCATCCTCCCTTCATCCCTGCACTGACCACAGCAACTGACTCAACAAAACCAAAGGTCTTAACCCCTCGCCTACCTCCTTGTCTTTGCAACTTTAACATGTAGCCTCCTCCCTCAAGTCTCTAATGTGGGGGTACCCTGGCTCTGATCCTGGACTTTGCTTCCCCAGTCCTGCCTCCTCTGCTTTTTTCCCATCACCCTAGGGCATCTGGTTTTTCTTTTTTAGTGACCTCAGGTGTTCATGGCATCAATTACTGTCCGGATGAAGAGGGGCCCCAATCTGTAACTCTAGCCTGAAACCCACATCTCCAATTCTGTACATGGACATCACTACCCAGGTAATACACCAGCACCCCAAAATCAACTTGTCAAAGCAAAAATTCACAATTTTCCTTCCCAAGCAAGATTCCCTGTGTGACTCCTCTGGGACACTTGGTCCTGTCACTTTTATTTTTCTTGAAAAATAATAGTAACAATCATCATAATGGCTAACATTTATTGAACGCTATTACGAGCCAGCCACTATTGTAAGCATTTTACTTATATTACTATATTTTGACACAGTTATTTCTGTTATTATCTATGCTATCATTGTCATTTCTATATTATCATTATGCCCATTTTCCACAGAAAACAACCAAAGCACTGAGAATTTAAGTGACTTGTCCAAGGCCTGTGAGAAATGGAGCTAGCATCTGAACCAGGGGGTTTGGCACCAGAGCCTACACTGCCAGATGAAAGTTTTGCTAACAGGACCTCTGCTGTTTCTCTCAAACCTAGCTCTGCGTATTCAGTTCTGCCACCATCACCCCGACTCAGCCCCTCTTCTCTGCTTGGCTGGATTATTTCATTACTCTACTAACCAGTGTCCTCATCTCATCTCCTATTAATTCGTCCCATGCTTTGCCAGCAGAGTGATCTTACTAAAGCATAGTTCTGCTAGAAAACTCTGCGGTTCTCCCCAAATGACCCAAAGCCTCTCTCAAAGTCTCAGCCTGGCCCAACCTGCCGGCCCAGCACCATCTTTCTCTAACGCCTCAACACTCGCTGCTCCAAAGAGGATGGCTTGCTACTTCTTCTTCTGCCCTTCACACCCTGGGCCTTAACTCTTCCCCTCATCCCTCAACACCCAGCTCGTGCTTCTGCCTCCTGACTACCAGTGGGATCTGCTAGGAGGGGGCCTCCTGGAGCATCCTATGGCAGTTTACTAAACCAACATTGCTGCTAATTGTGTTTGTATCCTATCTTTTATTTGCGACTACAAGCTCAGCTCTGACCCTGGCTCCTGAAGTGAACCCTATCCCTGATCCAACTTTTCCTGGAATGGGAGGTGGAGGGAGTGTATTGTAGTGCTTAACAGTATAACTCTCGGAGTCCAAAGACTTAGATTTAAATCCCAGCCCACCACTTATTAGAAATGTGACCTTGATATCTCACTTGACTTCTACAAATCTCATGTGCACTGTCTCTAAGCAAGGGGTAGGATACTCCTCCTGCAAGGTTCATTGAGAGGGTTCCAGGAGATGACATGCAGAGAGTGGCTAGTGCAGTGCATGGTACACAGTTGGTACTTAATACACTATGGTTCGTATATCTGCTGATGTTACTTCTTATTACTGTACAAGGCAACCAACAGATGAGTAGAATCTGGCTTCCCAAATAATGGGCATCTACAGCAGGGCTGCTGTTGTTCTGGCACACCGTGCACAGCCTGCAGGGTACTTACTTGCTTCTGTCTGGTTTTCTGCCACATTTCCGAGTACCTAAAAATGAATAAGTTGTCTTCTCAATTAAAGAACTGAAAAGAAAAGCTGAAATGTGGGGTTACTGACTGCCTATTAGAGGCCTAAATATGGAAAACTAAGCCAGAGCCCCATCACCCTGGGATTTCCTGCTATCCTGTATGCTTAAATCAAATTGGCTACAGAGCTGGTCCAAAGAGTTGTTCAAAATTGGTCAGAACATGATAGAAAACCAAATGCAAAAACTGTTGGCAAAATAGCTAATTTTACCTTATGCATAAGGCTGAAGATGCAGGGAAGGCTAGAATGGGTTGGACCAGTGCTGTCTAATAGAAATATAATGCAAGCCACATAAGCAATTTAAAATTTTTGGTAACCACATTACAAAGTAAGAAGAAAAAGGTAATTTTTAATATTTTATTTAGCATAATCTGTCACAAATACAAACTTATTTCCACATGTACTCAATATAAACATTTTCTAATTCTTTCACACACGGTCTTAGAAACTTATTATTTTATACTCACAACACATGATAATTTGGACTCCCACATTTGAAGTGCTCCATAGCCACATGTAGCTCATGGCTACTATTTCAGACATCAAGACAGTGCTCCCACACATGCATGCATTGCTTTCCTGCCCACAGTAGGCATTCGCCCTACCCTAGAAATATGCTAGTGGTCCAGAAGACTAGTCAATAGGGTTGACTAGAGCTTATAAAGTTGTCTGTCAACTACAACTAGGCAGCTGGAGCTGTTTCCATTCAACTCTTTCCTCTTCTGAAGGTTCCATGCCAAACATCTCACTGTTTCCCAATTAATGACATTAAGGTTGCTTAAAGGTTGAGATGCTTGCTGAGTTTTTCTGTTTTTTTGAGACAGGGTCTCACTCCATCACCCAGGCTGGAGTGCAGTGGCACAATCTCAGCTCACTGCAACCTCTGCCTCCCTCCCGCCTCAGTCTCCTGAATAGCTAGGACTACAGGCATGCACCCCCATGCCTGGCTAATTTTTGTATTTTTTTTTGTAGAGATAGTGTTTCACCATGTTGTGCAGGCTGGTCTCAAACTCCTGGGCTCAAGTGATGCACCCACCTCAACCTCTCAATGTGCTGGGATTACAGGCATGAGCCACTATGCCTGGCCTCCAATTTTTTTTTTTTTTTAAGAACAAATTTTTTCAGATTATCTGGGGCTAACAGTACTGACCATGGGAGTAATTTTCTGTATATTGAATGACCTTTTTTTTTTTTTTTTTTTTAAGTTAAATCCAATTGTTTTGAAGTTCTATGGAAACTCAGTGCCACCTCTCTTTAGCTCAGACATCCTGGGTTAGTCCTTTAATTGAGATCTACAACAACAATTAGATCTGAGTGGAAAATGATTTTGGATTCTAGGAACCAACCTGTTCAGGACATAATTAACTATTATACTGCTATTTGGGGATTAAAATAGATTTTTTAAAAATCTGAGCTCCCAAAATATTTTATGCACCGGGTAATAGCTGAAAACTTTCTTCAGCTGATTGTTATAATACTGTTTAGTGGAGAGTCAACTGATTGATAATCTATTACTTAGGGATGGATTTTCATGGTATTTACAACTTATAATATGAAAATGTTATTTTCAGGAAATTATATTTAGCACTGATATCCCAAAATAGTCTAGGTCTGCAATGACCAAGAAAACTTTCTGCAATGATAGGATTATTCCTTATCTGGGCTATCCAGTATGGTAGCCACTAGCCAGATGTAGGTATTGAGTACTTCAAAGGTGGTTAGTGCAACTGAGGAATGAATCTTAAATTTAATGGTATTTCATTTTAAATTCTATATTTAAATAATCACACGTGGCTAACTGGCTACTATACTGAACAGTGCAGGTCTAGGGAAACTGAAACTAGTTTACAAACTTGATTCAAGACACAATGGGTCCTAGATGCTATCACTTGTAGAAAGTTTACTTTTTGGCATTCTCTGTCTGGTCTATTTCTTTTTGGTGAAGGCTGATATGGAAACTGCTGTGGCATCAAGAATATCTACTCTTCAGATTTACAGCCTACTCTCTGTCTTTTGGGATTTGAGAGGGATTACTCATTACCAGGAATGAACAGGCTGGGAACAAATTCTCCAAGTCATCAGTTCTCCAAGCTGTGTGACTGGCCCAAGATCGCTGGGGGACTGAGAAAGGCTCAGGTAATACAAGCGCGATTACTTGTATTACACAAGTCACTTCACTCAACCAAAACTCCTTTCCTACCTGGGAGCCCCATTCGTGGTATATGACATGAAAATTACACAGGTGGCAGCCTAAAGAAGTCTTTAGCAAACTCCGACTTGAAGACCAGAAGTTTAACTATATTTTGAAGCAGATCACAGGTAAAAGGAGACTATGCAACAGGTCCAGGCTATGTTCCCAGGCCTGTAAAGCTCTCTGTGGCCCAAGGATTCATTCTACCTTGAGATAATGTAGGATCTTTGGAGGAACCTAGCATGCTCAGCAGTCCCACATAAGTAAAGCAAAAGAGCTTTTGTTTCTTTTCAAATATCTAAAATTTCAAACTTTATTTTCATCCTTAAACTATTTTCTGGCCTTTGGAAAACCAATGCAAGTTTGAAAATTATTTTGTTTTAAAAAACATACATACCATGCACATACAGCACAACACATGTTACAATTAGTGCTAATGCTACAGGTATAAGCACATATCTGTGTCTTGAATGACCTATAAAAAAAGAAAAGAAAAGAAATTCAACTAGTTGAACTGATCAAAATGGATCCTCATTATTTGCAGATTCCACCTTGCAATTTGCTTATTTGCTGAAATTTATTTGTAGTCCACAAATCAACACCCATAGCAGTCATTCTCAGACATAAGAACAGTGATGAAAACTTTTGAGTCACCCAATAAGCAGATTCCCAGCAGAGGTGGAAGAAAGTGAAGCTCTGCCTTCTTGTTTCAGTTCTTACACTGTTAACAAGTGTCCTATTTGCAGTCTATTTAGTGCCATGATTTTGCATTTTTACGCTTTTTTGTTGGTGATTTCACTATTTTAAATGGTCCCAAAGTATAGTGTTGAAGTGCTGACAAGAGTTCCTAAGTGCAAGAAGGCTGCGATGTGCCTTGCAGAGAAAATAGGTGTATTAGATAAGCTTCACTTAGGCATGAGTTATAGTGCTGTTGGCTATGAGTTTAATGTTAATAAATCAACACTATATATTAAGGTTCATTTAAACAAAACACACATAAAACAAGGTTATAAACAGATCATTAACAAAAATGTTATGACTAGAGGCTTACAGGAACCTACCCCTGTATTTCCCCCAGGAACATTACTTCAATACTTGCTATTTCAGTGTTAACTTGACTCTGTAGAACTACTATGAATAACAAGATTCGACTATTTCTAAACAAACTTATATGCACAAGCTTGATACATTCCAGACCCTGTGTTATTTAATAAAAGAAGCAAATATTCCACTAGAAGGTTTGTTTCTGACCATTTCATATTGCCAGTGGAAGCAGAACTTGGCATTGTGTTTGGTAGGGCAATTCTGGCAGTTGTATATAATAAGCCTTAAAAATATTTATCATGAAGCATCTAGGCATTGTACTAAGTCATGTGCCTATAGTCTCACTAAGTCATTACAATGTTGGGCAAGTGTCTTAACCTCTCAGTGCCTCCATTTTCTCCTAGGGTAACTATACATGGGACTAATAAATATACTTATCTCATAGGGTAGTTGCACTTAAGAACAGCTGTTATATATTGTCATTAACCTATTGAGTAGATGTTATTGGTATCTCTATTAACATTTTGTGACTCTGCAATTCCATTTCTAAGATGTCATCCTGGGGAAACTACCAATGGTGTGCCCTTCTTCTCCCCGTAAAAAGGCACAAAGATATTTACTGCAGCCTTACTTAGTATACCATAAGGCAAAAATAACCTAAGTTGTTTTCACAGCAGCCCCTTGTTTTCACAAAAAACTGTGGTATGTTCACGAGGTAAACTCTATCCAGCTATTGAAAATCCAAAATCAGAGTACACAGTGCACTGCTAAAGGACTGGGGAGGGGTCACTAAGAGCAAATGTGACATGGATATGGGAAAGGAGGGGAAAGGAAGGGAGAGGAAGAAGAGAGAGAGAAAATGAATGAATAAATAAGAATAAGATCACACTTTCCTTTTATTAAGAACACAGGTGTGTTGGAACAAATAGGCAGTCACCTATTGGTCAGATTTGAGAAGAAACTGATAGGTGCCCCTGAACATCATTTTCCCTTCTTTAGTAGCAGAATTCAGATTTTCTTTGGCAATAATACTCCCCCAGTAGTGTCTGTATACTTTCCTCAGGTGGCATACAATGCCTGGTTGCTTTTCTTTTCATGATGTCAATGCCATTGAAGATCATTGTCTAGAGCCATAATTTCATCAAGGGTTTGTAGAGTGGTTTAGTCTATCATTCCTTCTTTACTAACTACAATCTTCACATAAAGATAAACTGCCCCCATCAACAATGTGGTTACTCTGAGGTTCAGTTTATAAAGGAAAAACAGTGTTTGATTCTTCTCTTTCTTTACCGTTTTTTCAAAATAATGAGTTAGCTCCCAAGCATTCTCTAGAGATGACCAATGAGTTTTTAAATTTGTTTTTAGTACCATTATGAACTCATGAACTGAGCACAATTGATGTGTTTCAATCTACTGAAGTTGTTATTCTTATTGATGTTCCAATTGTCTTATTTTTGGCCAGAGGGAACCTCTTCAGAGTGGCTCCTGAGTCCTGCTGGTACCATCATAGTAAGTCTTTTTGATAGCTTTCTTGTTATGCGGTAAAACAAGATATTCAAGGCTTATTTTAATGCATTCCATGCGCCAGATATGGAATCAGCCAACTGTCCCAAAGGCCCTGGTTCATTTTCATGGGAAATGGTAATTAGATACCATAATCTGGGTGAAGGTGGCCAATTATCCTGGTTTTCCTGAAACTGAGGAGTTTCCTGGGATGTGAAATTTGGGTGCGGAAACTGGGAAGTCTGGGCACACCAGGTAACACTGGTCACTCAAATCTGGGTCCAAGAATCAAGAAGCATGCAAATTGCTACGAGATTGGCTCTTGTTTCTAGAACATTTCAAAGGACAGAACCAGGAAATACATGATTTTCTAAGAGACAAAATACATTGATGGGTCATGCTGGCATTATGTTGAACCCTATTCAGTTGCCAAGATTCAATGGTTTTTGACTAGAGAAACAGCAATTTCATATGGTTCAAATTAATACCTTTAAATAAATCCAGGGCTACAGTTTTTACTTAACCTAATCAATTTACAGCTGAATCTCCTTTCTTTCATGCCAAACATCCCAATATTCAATAACAACAATATAAATATTCACTTGCACTTTCCTGCAGTACATACTGAACAGTAACCAAATACCAGCATTACCACTAACTATATATAATTACTTAAAACATTACAATTTTTTTCTTTGTAGTTCTTTTTATCCTTAGAATGCAGCCCCTTGAAATATGCACCCAAATTACTATGTTTTTAAAACACTTGGAATTGTTCCTCTATTTGGGGTTATTCCACAAACTTGATTCATGGCTTAGTACATTAGCTTCATTTGGCTTTAAATATTTTTGAGTTTCAGGTTCACAAAAAAACTGGACAGAGGTTACAGAAAGTTTGCACATATACCCTGCCCCTACACATGCATAGCCTCCCCATTATCAACATCCCTCACCAGAGTGGCACATTTTTTAGAATTAATGAAACTACTCTGATACATCATTATCACTAAAAAATCCATACCTTACATTAGCATTCAGTTGTACATTCTGTGGGTTTGGACAAATGTATAACATCATTACAGTATCATACAGAGTATTTTCACTGCCCCCAAACTCCTCTGTGTTCCACCTATTCACATTCCCTGCCAACCACTAATCTTTTTACAGTCTCCACAGTTTTGCCTTTTCCAGAATGTCATATAGGTAAAATTACATAGCATGTAGTCTGTTCAGATTGGATTCTTTGACTTAGTAATATGAATTTAAGTTTCCTTCATGTCTTTTCATGACTTGATAGTTCTTTTCAGTGCTGAATAATATTCTACTGTCTGTTTGTGCCACAGTTTATTTGTCTATTCATTTCCTGAAGGACATCTTGGTTGCTTCCAAGTTTTCGCAATTATTAATAAAGATCTATAACCATCCGTGTGCAGGTTTTTATGTCAACATAAGTTTTTTTTTAATGCCTTTGGGTAAATAGAAAGAAGCATGACTGTTGTGCTGAATGGTAAGAGTATGTACAGTTTTGTAAGAAACTGCCAAACTGTCTTCCAAAGTGGCTGTACCATTTTGCATTCCCACTTGCAATGAATAAAAGTTGCTCCACGTTCTCACCGACATTTGGTGCTGTCAGTTGCTCCACGTTCTCACCGGCATTTGGTGCTGTCCAGATTTTGGTCAGTGTGATAGGCATGAAGTGGTATTTCATTGTTGTCTTAGTTTCCATTTTCCTGATGCCTGTTGACATAGGACATGCCCAGCTAATTTTTGTAATTTTAGTAGAAATGGGGTTTCTCCATGTTGGCCAGACTAGTCTTGAACTCCTGACCTCAGGTGATTCACCTGCCTCAGCCTCCCAAAGTGCTGGGATTACAGGTGTAAGCCACTGCGCCCAGCCCTGGAATATCTTTTTATATCCCTACTTGCTCTCTGTATATCTTCTTTGGAGAGGTGTCTGATGAGGTCTTTCACTCATTTTTTAATTGGGTTGTTTGTGTTTTTCTTGTTGAGTTTTAAGAGTTTTTTTTGTATATTTTGGATAATAGTCTTTTATGAGATGTGTCTTTTGCAAATATTTTCTCCCAGTCTGTGGCTTGGCTTCTAATTCTCTTAAAATTGTCTTTCACAGAGCAATGTTTTTAATTTTAATGAAGTACAGCTTACCAATTACTTCATTCATGAATCATGTCTTTGGTGTTGCAGCTAAAAATCATCACCATATCCAAAGTTATCTAGGTTTTCTCTTATGTTTTAGGAGTCTTATGGTTTTGTATTTTACATTTAGATCTATGGTCCATTTTGAGTACAATTTTGTGAAGGGCATAAGGTCTGTGTTTAGATTAATTTTTTTGCATATGGATGTCCAGTTGTTACAGCACTATTTGTTGAAAAGATCATCTTTGCTCCGTTGTATTGTCTTTGCTCCCGTCAAAGATCAGTTGACCATATTTATGTTGGTCTATTTCTGGGCTCTCTATTCTGATTCACTGATCTATTTGTCTTTTATTTTTCCACCAATACCACACTATGTTGACTAGTGTAGCTTTATAGTAAGTCTTGAAGTTGAGGAGTATCAGTCCTCCAATTTTGTTCTCCTTCAATATTTTGCTGGCTATTCTGGTCTTTTGCCTGCCCATTTAACTTTAAAATCAGTTTGTTGATATCCACAAATGACTTCTGATATTTTGCTTGGGATTGCACTGAATTTATAGAGCAAATTGGAAATAACCAACATCTTCACAATAAGGAGTCTTCCTATCTATGAACATAGAATATCTCTCCATTTATTTTGTTCTTTGATTTTGTTCATCAGTTTTGTTGATTTTCTCATATAAATCTGGTATGTATTTTGTTAGACTTGTACCTAAGTATTGCATTTTTGGGGTGCTAAGGTAAATGGTGTTCTGTTTTAAACTTCAAATTCCACTT